ATCATCAAAAAGTTGGAGCGTGAAGTGTATTTTTGAGGGATTCAGATTACTATTATCAATTAGAATAATTTATGGTTGTATTGGTTGGACCAATAAAATGAAATATCCAGGCTCCGTTTAGAAAAAACCCAATTGGTAATATATCTATGATTACTACTTGGATCATAAAGGATTCCTATTTAGAAAGAGAAGTGATCTCAAACTCTTAATCAATCGAGAAATGAAATATAGAGAAATACATAAAATGTTTGGCGGAAAGCATGAAATGAATTGAAAAAAAAGGGGAGTCATAGCAAAAAGAAGTGGTAGTGGGAACATTTGTCCTATATGTACAAATAGAAATCGGGCGGATCTTTACCCGGAGTAGATCATAAACCTAAAAAGATTGAAGAGGCCCATTCAGGAACAAGAAAATGACATCGTGATTTGGATTGGATTTCGATGAAATAATACATCAATGAGAAGTTAATTCGATAAGTTTAGTGAATTCTTTTTTATATTATAAGGAAAGGAACAAAAACCCATCTTTATCGAAAAATAAAAGAAAAAAGAAGCGAGTGAAGTGTCTTTCCGGCGCCCGTCGTCGAAAAGAGAGCTGTGGGTCTCTCTTTGAATGAGCTGCTTTTCTCTATCTCTCTGTCTTTTTGTCTCACTTAATTTCTCACCTTTTTTCTATTATTAACAGAGAATTGAAATATGTATATAGTTAGCATGGAGATTTAATTCAATAGCAGCTTAGCTTGAGAAATTCAATCTTTATCTCAGGTGTATAATAATAAAGTTGTTGGATTGAACGGTGTAGGTGGTGGTAGTATTACGGATTCGGCAACTCACACCCCCAACACAAATCAACCCATCATTACAGACATCATCAAATCTGCCCTTCTACACTTCGATCAAAGTTATTTTGATGATCAAGTTCTAATACAGTTTTGGGCACCCATCACAACAGAAACAGGATGTGTCCAGCTTGTTACTTCAGACCAACCTTTTGCTCTTACTTATGATCTTGATGAACGACTTCTTAATTATAGGAAGCAGTCTTTGCAATACAAATTTAATGTGGATGGGGAAGAAGTAGAAGGCCTTGGAATCCCTGGCCGTGTTTTCCGCCAAAAATGGCACGAGTATCTACCAGATGTGCGACATTACTCTACCAAAGAGTACCCACAGCGTGATTTTGCTCTAGCTTGCCATATTTCGAAATCTTTTTGTTTTCCGTTGTTTCAAACCTCTTTCCAGGAATGCGTTGGAGTTCTTGAGTTTGCTACAATTACCGATTCCCCTTTATACTGGACGTGTAAATCGTTTATCGAGGTTTGGTGATCAGATATGAATGCCATCATATTTGGAGATGATAGATATGACTTTACCTTCTCATTAATTTAAACCTTACTAAAATTATTCACTTTTTCTTTCTCTTGCAGCTTGCGGGTCTGAAAACTTCTTGGTGTGATGGATATGATTGTATTAGTAAGGTAAGTTAGAGCTGTAATATCCAAATGTGAGATTTGGTACTTTTATATGTTTTCACTACTCTCTTCTCTCATCCACAAATGTCTATACCAGGTTTTAGATACAGATGATCATCCAGATATATGGGATGAAATCGAAGAAGGGTTGGAAGTGGTGTGCAAAACTCACGACTTACCTTTGGCTAACACATGGATTCCGTGCGGGCATTTCAATGGCTTGGCCTTTGATGGCAATTTGGATAATAGCTATGATACGTTTGATGTAAGCTGTATGGGACCAGCCTTTCACTTTAATAACTGGAATGATTTTCAAAGGGGGCATGGAGTTGTTGGGAGTGCATATCAGTCACATAAACCGTGTTTCTGCAAAGATATAACTCAATTCAGCATTACCGAATACCCCTCCCTGCCCTTTCCACACGCTTTTGGCTTAACAGGTTGTTTCGCAATTTGTTTGCAAAGTATTTTTTCCGACAATTATGATTATATCATAATAGAGTTTTTTTTGAATCCTAAAAACACATATGGTGAAGACCCAACTACCTTCTTGTGCCCAATATTAGAAACAATGAAACAACATTTCCCAAACTTTAAGCTTGCTTCTGGAGAAGAACTCGGGAAGGAATTATCCATTGAAGTTATTAAGCCTCGCATGAATCAGGAGCCTACTTCTTTTCAATGCCAAAGAACTTCATCTGAATCATCTCCATCAAATAGGCCTGGTGCCTTACAAAATGGACAAGAGATGATGCAGCCACATTCATCAAATCAACAGCCAATAGTTGAAGTTGATGATCTCAACAATGACTGGCATGTTGTTGATGCGGAGCAAAACAATGGACAAGAGCAAAATAACGTTCCCATTAGGCTTGAAGTCTCACATAATGGGCAAGAGACGACGTGGCCAGATCCACCACATCAGCAACTAACATATGAAGTTGAAGTTGATGATATCAACGATGGAAGGAATGTCAATGCAAATTCAATAACTTATGAGAAGCTCGAAAAACATTTCGGGAAGAAACTTGAATATGTTGCACAGATTTTTGGTGGTAAGCTTATACACTAATTGAAATTATTGTTTGTGATCTGCTCTATTTTCTACTTTTGAGTTTATTCTAATAGGAATATTAGTTTATTCTTTTGCACTTGTAACTTATATGAGTTTTTGTTATTGAATTCTTATTTTTGCAGTGAGCCGATCTACATTTAAGCGTATGTGCCGAGACAATAAAATTAATCGCTGGCCGCGGAGCAAGAGAAAAAAGGTTGAAGGCTCTCCCTCTAGACGAGAACCTCCATGTTCTGATTTGCCTACTACGAAACTCGTGGCACATCACATGACTCCGCTTGTAAGACCACCACCAGAGGCAAGGACGATGACTATAAAGGCAACCTATGCAGATGATCTGATAAAGTTTCAATTACCTTTTTCGTCATCAATGGTGGACTTAGAAGAGGAAGTTTCCAAGAGGTTGAAGTTCCATGTTGGAACTTACAAGATCAAATATACAGATGATGATGGTGATCGGGTCTTAATAGCCTGCGACAAGGATTTGCAAGATTGTATGAATGCTTCTAATTCATTGGGCACGAATACAATCAAAATGTTCATTGAGCCAATTAATAGAATATCTCCTTTAGCCTAACTAGTTATGTATGTAAGTTCCTAACTATGTGTTGATACAAAGTAATCAAATTGTTCTTCAGTATGTATTTGTGTAATTTTTTCTTTTCACCAAGAAATATACTCCCTCCGTCCGATAAAAAATGTCACTTTTAGGGAACTGTGACTCTCACAAATTGAACTGACACGGTTCTCTAAACACGACACTCTTTGCGGGACGGAGGGAGTATATCAGTAGTTTCTATGTTCTAACTTTCCACTTTGTTCTCTAGTATTGTTGGGTCTTCTACTTGTGCAATTTTGTATTTCAAAGTTTGCGTACATTTCAGATTCTAAAAAAATTTAGGAAGGTCATTTCCGATTCTAAATTAATTTTTCCATTTGATGAGGTAATTAGTTGTTGCAGATATACTTCCATTGATTAGAAGGTAGTAGGCACAATGACCATGGAAGCTTAATTTGGCTCAATGACTCACATCGACCTTCTTTTTTATGGTAAAAACGTACTACTAAACTACGAGTCTAGGGTCACCCTTTAAATTTATTTTTTTGAACAAACAACTTTTTATTTGTTAAGCAGCCAAAATTGAGACACAAACCTCGGTTTTCTTAAAGATTATTTCAAAAGCCAGAGGTTTAAAAATGCAAGTCCTCAAGTTTTCATAGATGCTAATAAAGCATTGGAATTCTTAAATTCTAAATATCATAAAATCATAAAAGGCTTTCGTAAAAAATGAACTCTACAAAAAAAAAAAAAAAAAAAATTTAGGTCTAGGTACTTGAAAGTACCTAAAAAGCAATTTCTCAAGTTTTCTTAAATTAATGGATTTTAAGTTCTTCAAATTAAAAGTCATAAAATACACTTTAAAGATACACAAACCCTAAAATTCACAAAAGTTTAGGTCCAATTCTCTTAAGAAATAATATTTGAAGATGTTTTAAAATCCACAAACCTTGGATCACAAAAAAATTGTTTAATATGTTGGTCTTTTTTTGGGTACTCTATTTTGGTTCATCACTCACCATTTGTTACTGACCCATTCATACCCAACCAATTCAAAACCCGTCCAAACCCACCCAATTGCCACCCCTAGTCCGGCCCCATCAACCCTTCAAGCCCCACAATGACAACGACGACAACCAAGCTTAAAATGCAGAGGACCTTCATTGAAGCCTTGATTTCTCTATCCCAATAGTAGCATAAGGTGGCTGTGATTCTCATGCTAGAAACAATTCATGATTTACCACTAAAAATACCCGCATTAATACCATAACTTTATTCATGCCTCCTAAAATCGTCTTCATCCTTCCGATATTTTTTTTTACGAGAGAACATACAAACAAGACACAGTAAGCACTTTTTTAATATTATACAAGAATTTGAAACTTGACAGAAGAAAAGGACAATGGTAAGCAGAACCCCCTTATTAGTAAGGTTGCTGAGCAAGCATTAGCTGCACTAGGAGGCATTAAATAAGGGACATTCACAAAATTCTACTGTAATCTAGACCAGCAAGGTGACAAACCTATAATTCAACCCATACCAGGAAACCCCACAGTATCAGTCTTATTCCAAGGACATTACCAAGTTCTAGACACAAAGAATGAAGATACCATTACCGTAACCTTCACTGAGAAGGAGAAGATTCTGCAGGAAGAAACTTGAGTGAAATACTATTAACACAATGACGTTCATTCGTTGGAGTAGGGAACCCTTCACCTTTAAATACATGACCTAGATGCCCACCACAAGCGGCACACGTAATTTCAATCCTCTTTCCATCTGGGTCCGCCTGAGAGCACAAAAGAATGTCATTAACTATAAAAGCAAAATTAATACAAGAAGGTACTTTTAAGATGAGATAAAGAAGTTGGACAAGTAAAATAGAAAAGCATGCTCATGGTGCGATTTATTGCTCCGGGGAGACCCTCATAGAAAGCTGGCCATCCACATCCAGAGTTAAATTTAGTAGTGGACCTGTAGAGAGGAGTACCGCATCCTGCACAGTTGTAGACTCCCTCACCAAAGAACTTGTCATACTCTCCCGTGCCTGGGTACCTGTACATACAGCAAATTATATATAACCAGGTAAGAAACGACAAGGTTTGGCTGTTTCAGCAAGAGTTATTTAGAACAAAAAAGGGTTTGATGAATCTCATTTTAATCTCCAAGGCATCAAACAAAGATGCAACAAACATTTAAATCTTACAATGGCCAATTCAACACAACCACCATAAGATTCCACATTGTTCATTTCTTTTCTTTACTTCCTGCGGGATGAAACAGCGCTTGATATTTAATAATATGAGATAACAACTACAGTTGTAAAAAAAATGTTCTAGTAATAATAGAAGAGTATATGTGGATGATTAAGATTGCAGTCGTATCACATCCAGCAGTGGAGCTTTTTTTCTAGACATGGACAGAAAAAGTAAGTGGGGTACTTTATCTCTTCCCTCCCAGCCGGGAATGGCGCTCTGCGTTCTATCTAGGTTCCACTATTACATACGCCCCACCTCACATAAGAAGGGGAAACTCTTCAATAGAAGAACCAGTGTGAGTGGGAAGGAATTCCATCATTCATTCATCGGATAGTTGGTACATTCATTCCAGAGGATACATTTTATCCAACTTCCTTTTCAGTTTTTTGGCTCTCTTCTCACGTCTCTGAAGACAAATAATTAGCGAAATTTCAAAATTTCATACTTTACATCAAAGAGGGCAATCGAAGGAAGGAAGCAGACAGAGAGAGAAACAAAGAATGGCCTTACCTATTTAGTCTACCATGAACTTATATTTTAGGGTCTAACTCAGTTATTACTGGAAGAAATTTTTTAACCTTTGCTTAGACGAAAGTTTGGCAAGGGAGGTATGATGTTGTCTTCCCATATACATCGTTGCCTGCATATGTCATGGCACTGTTTTATGCTTATCAGTATATTCAAGCTGTATAACTTCGATGGAAGCTATAAATTCACCGAAATAGATCAGCACATCAATATATTTGATGCTTCGTTCTTCTTTAACTTTTATTTAAAAATAAATGGTCTAGACTCTGGACTCTTGTTCCTGAACTGATAATCTCTACTCACATCGTCAGAAAATCCAGTAGGAGCTCTTAAATTGGATTTCACATACAACCTCCACTTTTTCCTTCCTCCTCTAGCCGCTTGGTATCCAAATTCTTCCCTATATGTAACATATCGCGTCAGGCATTATGTACTTTTACTCATAGAACAGAGGAAGAAATCAAATTTCTTAATCCAATATGAACTCAATATAGGCATGACCTGATTTCGGTAACTTATCATGTGATTTCTAGCAATAATGGAGATATCTTGACGGTATATCAGATCCTATTGATTTATTGCATAATTCCTACAATTTTTCACAAGATTATCGATAACATCCGGAAAACCTCAATAAAAAACATATGCTCAACTCAAACCACATTCATTTTCAGAATGCAGAGATAAAAAGGGGAAAGAAGGTGGGGGGTGGAAGACTCAAGACCCTAGTCTATAAAGAAATGACAAAAAGCATCCACCTATATCACACAGGCTCTATACGTGTGGGTATGTGCCTAAGCATCAGATTTTCAAAAGCCAAAAACCCAAGGACAGGGGAGAACAATTAAATATTCATATTCTTTTAATATTCATCTTTTATGAGTAAAATGGTATATTAATGTAACATATAGTTTTCAAAAGAAACATAATACCTAATATTGTTTTATGACCAATTACATAATGAAATTGAATTACCTGACATGTAAAATATATATAACCCATTCTCTATATTCAGGGTCATCGATTTAAACACAGAAACCTCATGCATTTAAAATAGGTCATGCAATATAGTCCATCTCTTGAGCCAGTAACTAAACTATGTTCGACTTCTTACTCATCCTTGCCTTAATCACAGATGAATTGGGTCGCCCATATGAATTCTCTCTTTCCAAATTTTCTATTACATGCCAATTCACTTACTATATTTAACTTTTTCAGAACATTTTTAATAACCTCATCCCATGTTATTTTTGGCCTCCCTCTCCGTCTCTTACCTTCTATTACAACTATTTTCCTCGTTTGACAAGCGCATCACTAGGTCTCCGATATTGACCAAATCATCTGAGTCTACTTTCTCGATTTTTCTCACCAATGGGAGCTACACCTAATTTTCCTCTCACACTTTCATTAGTGATCCTATCTCTTCTAGTCACTCGACTCATCCATCTTAACATTCTCATTTCAACTACATAACGGCGTTGTTCTTGTTTCTTTTTTAGGGTATACAACATAGTTGGTCTAATAACAATCGTATAGAATTTTCCTTTTAGCTTATGTGTTATTTTTTTATCACATAAAATCCCACTAGCATGTCTCCATTTTGTCCTACCCACCCCAATTCTACTAGTTTCATCACTATTTTTCCATCCATTTGTATTATCAATTCTAGATACCAAAAGTGGTAGTTTTAAGTAATCCTTTTGTTTTGAAGTGCTATCATTATATTATTAATGTTCCAATCTTTATTAAATTTGCATTCCTTAACTAGGTTTTAGTTTGACTAATTATCAACCCTTTTGATTCTAAAACATTTCTCCACGTTTCTAGTTTTATTGCTAAATTCTCCTTAGAGATATCCAAAAGCACGATATCATCGGCAAACATCATGCACCATGGAATCTTGTTTTGGAATTCTTTTGTTATTTCATCTAAAGATTATCGCAAATGGGTATGGGCTTTGTCCCGATCACTTATTTATATAATAGAATTCTATTCTTGGATAAGAATTTTTTTTCACGTACTTTCTTTATAACACCCTTTTCAATACCATACAAAAATATTATGTAATAAAAAATCAATAAATTTTAAATTTTACTTTCTTTAATTTTTGTAACACCTTTTTAACTATCCTACATAACAATTTAACAAATATTATGTAATCCAAACCCATATATTTTCAATTTTACTTTCTTTAATCTTTATAGCACATTTTTCGATATCCTACATAAATGTTATGTAATCCAAAATTTAAATATTTTAAATTTTCATCAATTATTTATATAATATAATTCTATTTCTAGATAAGAATTTTATTTTTTTATGATTATTTGACATTATTATTCCTAATTAAATTGATATATTTCATTGAGTGAATTAATGTGGTTATTTTATTAATATTTTGATATTATAAATATAAAATTGGTATGAGTACCATATATTGAGGGCAAAAATGTAATCTGTACAACTTTCAGACTTTAGCTTTTGTATATAACAAACAATCTTAAGAAATTCAGTTTTTAAAAGTACAATATTATCAAACGGATTTTCAAATTAATATATTCAACACTTAGAATTTCAAAGTTTAAGATTCAATACTTAAGATTTTCAGTGCATAATTTTCAGTTTTATCAAACAACACCTTATACTTATGTTCTGTTTCGTACAAAAACTTTGAAAGGGAATGTTGGAGGGCTAGAGAAAGGAGGGTGTGTTTTCCTAGTGTTGTTTGGTTGAGTAGGAAGGAAACAAGGAAGGAAGGGGCGCAATTTGATTGCTATTCCATTCCAAAATTAAAAAGAAGGCTTTTTAGAAGGATATAGATGGTAAAAAAGAAGAAGATGCTTTCTTCCTCCTTTCCTCCCACTCCTTTTCTTCTCTGTCATGCAAAAGTAACAAATTAAGTTCCAATCCTTACAAGCTTGTTTGGATTTGGAGTCTATTTGTACTTCCACTCTTTGGACAAGGTTCGAGGTCTGGTATCTTACTTGGAGAAGGTAACAAAGTAATCAAAAGATTTTCATCCATCATCAACCCCCCTCTAACCCATCTTCAACCAATTTTCCTTACCCGAAACGCCTCCCAAAATTAATATGCATAACAAACAAAGATGCCTCACTGCCAACCAACGAACTTTACATTCACTGTGAATGATTCACACACATTGTTTCTCCAAAGAGTGAGCCAGCCACCAATCCGATTAACAAACCATCAGCAATTGGGTTTCATCAAGGCTTGAAATATAAAGATGAAAAAAAAAAAAAAAAAAAAAAAAAAAAAAAGAGAAGAGAGGAAATAACAAATAAACCACCTAAAGACAAACTTATACTTAAAACGTGTTTCTCAAATAGACAACTCATGAATCCAATAGTCAACTATTATTAACAAAGGTGTTCAACAAAAAATCTGAAGGAAGAAACTCAGACACAAACTATTTGATTTAAGAAAGAACAGTACAAATAGAACAAACCCATTATTTGCAGTAATCCAATCATAAATTATGTCGCAAAGCAAGCCAAAGCCTTATATATATACAAACAAACAAATATAGACATATATATACATATACATATACAGAAGCATACTCTGTTCCTTTCTGCCTCAGAATTCGAAACTGCTCGGGAGAGAGAACTGCACGCCAATCCTCATCTGATTTCTGAACCGGACCAGATGCGGCCATAGCTACAATCCCACCTCTGAAGCTTCTCTTAGTCCGGAGAGACAACCCACCAAACCCAGATGATGAAATTTTGTGATTGATGGGTTTTGAGGTCTGGTGTATGAATTGGGTTTTGCAGAGACTGTTGGGTATTGAAATTGCCAATAATCGAGAGACGGGGGTGGGATTGAAAATTAGGGTTCTACAAGAAGTGAATGTTGAGATTTTGAAAATCTGAGAGCCCATCTCAGATAAACTATTGAATTGTGTATAGTGTGGAGACCAATTCAATCGCCAGATAATGTTGTCAACATTCATCCTCCGTGGACAGTTCGTGGCTCTACTGTTCTATCTTCTTCATGTTAACATTTTAACTAATACATCCAACTTTTACCTCTCAATAGTTTTCTATTTTTTTTTTTTTTTTTTTTTTTTTCTTTCGGTTTTTCTCAATTTCATTTTCTTTTTTCCTTTCATTTTTTTTTATTATTATTATTTTTGAACATGAATGAGAATCTACAAAAGATAAAAGAGACACTCAAAAAGAGAATGTGTCACTCTTTTATGTTTTTTTTGGTAAGGTGCAACCCAAGAAAATTAACCAGACATTCTAGTTTTGATGAAGAATTTTAATTTTAATTTTATTTTACTGTATTTTATAGAAATTAAAATCCCTCACTCTATAACACAAACAAATATTCACAAAGTTTCGATGAAAAGCAATGATGTCACTTCACTTTTTACACTCCTCCCTTTTGTCCACTTTTTCTTTTTTCTTTTTTGATATATACATATATATAGATACAAATATTCCTCATACATTCCTTGTGCGTTCAGCTTGAACCTCAACATTTTTACCTGGAAATCCTTAATAAAAACAAATAAATTTCGAGAGACCTTTTTTTAAAAAAATTTAACAACTTAATAAATAATTTAAATTATTGGAGACGCACCAACTTGGAAAAGCTGCTCTCTGTTGGATTTCATGAGCAAATAATCTTTCAAAATTTACCAGTTAAATAAAAATAAATAAATAAATAAAAAGAATCATTCAAAGCAAGTTATTCTCCCCAAATTCATCAAAATTAACCAATATCTCCACATTTTTTAATAATTTATCAACCTATCTGCAACTTCTCATAAAAAAAGTAGATTTTTCAAATTTGAAACCCCAAATTGAAGTCTTTCCAATTGAGAACAAATGACAATTATATCACCTATCTCAATTTCCAACCACAACACACCCACATAAATTTCTCTCACCCTTCATTTGCTTTGTGAAAACCCCATCATTTTCTTCAAATTAGGGAAAAACAGTGAAGAACTCAAAGATGGGTTGTCTTCAACCAAGTGTTCCTCAACCATATCTTTGACAGACATAGCAGACAATGGATGAAAATTGACACCCCAATCCGAAACAAATCCTTTGGCCAAAACCCACTTGTCTTCTTCACTCATCTTCTTCCATGTCTTCTTCACTTCCTCAGAATTCGAACCCATGTACTGACACAGCTCTGTGAACAAGATTTGTCTGCTCTTCTTCATGGCCTCCTCTCTCTGCACCAAATGGGTGCTCATCTTTTCAATTTCTGTGGCCAAATCTGATGCCAGCTCTGCATCACTGATGCTGTTGGCGCATGAGATTTGGATCTTGGGGGTGTGGGTTTGGAGGGTTGGGGAGGGGAAAGGACGATGGGTTTGGGATTTTAGGGTTTGTGAGGGGATTTGGGGGGAGAGGAGATGAACCCTTAGCGCCATTTGAGGTTTTTGTTGATGGGTTGGTTGAGGTTTTTGGGGAAATTGAGGTTTTGATCTGGTTGGAATGTTCAGATTGAGAGTGAACATTATTAGGTAAAGAGAGTTCCTTTGTTTAGGGTTTGATGGTTAGTTGAGGTTGAAATTGAGGTTTTGATCTGGTTGGAATGTTTAGATTGAGAGTGAGCATTATCAGGTACACACAGTGAATTTGTTTAGGGTTTGATGGTCATTCTTTATGGGTTTATGTCCTTTTGGGGTCTTGGCGCAGACGTACAAATATTGAAATAAAACAAAAAAAAAATTGAAGAATAACTCCCAGATTTGTGAAGAAATGATAATCAAAACTTTACAACAAAAAAAATTAAAAAATAAGTTTCAGATTTGTGAAGAAATGATAATCAAAACTTTACAATTAAAATTATCAAAGGAGAAACGCAGCAATACGAGTGACCCAAATATCTTGTTATCATCAAGATAACATATTCAAAATTAATTGGGTTGACTTCACACATTTATATATAAACAACACATTTGGATAGTATCACTTACATTTTTTTTTTAAAAAAAAAAAGAAAAAAACAAAACAAAAAAATCAGGATTTTATAAATTGTTATTCAGTGAATACGCTAATGTAAATCAATAATAAATTAAGAGGATTCTAATTTATCTGGGTACATTTTTACTAAATTCAATTTGTATATTTGGTGAACACTATTGTACCACATGAAAATTGTTTGTTATTCAAACGTAAATCGATAATAAGTGAAGGGGATTCTAATTTATCTAGATTAGTTTTACTAAAATTAATGTGTATATTTAGTAAACAATACTGTGCCACATGAAAATTAATTGTTATTTACTAAATGCACTAACAAAAATTAGTAATCATTGAAGAGGATCCTAATTCAACGTTTTTACTAAATGATTTGAATTATACAGGAATGAATGATTTTGTAAAGGTGTCATTTCGTTTTTATGATTAGTTAATGACACAATGTGCTTTTTCAAAATTAAATTCCCAAGGACAAATTAAAAGAGTGGTGTGCAAAACTCAGAAATGTGGGATGATCCGTTTGATGTAAGCTGTATGGGACCAGCCTTTCACTATGAATATGACGCATCTTGTATTCCAGATGATATGCTGAATGATTTATTTTTTCACTGGAATGATTTTCAAAGTGGACATAGAGTTGTTGGGAGTGCATATAACTCAATTCAGCATAACCGAATACCCCTCCCAGCCCCTTGCACGCTCTTTTGGCTTAACAGCTTGTTTCGCAATTTGTTTGCAAAGTACTTTTTCCGACAATTATGATTACATCATAATAGAGTTTTTTTTGAATCCTAAAAACACATATGGTGAAGACCCAACTACCTTCTTGTGCCCAATATTAGAAACAATGAAACAACATTTCCCAAACTTTAAGCTTGCTTCTGGAGCCCTACAAAATGGACAAGAGATGATGCAGCCACATTCATCAAATCAACAGATAATACTTGCACTTGATATTGACAACCAATGGAATCTTGTTGATGCGGAGCAAAATAATGTTCCTGTTACTCGTTCAGATGATGCACGCATGAATCAGGAACCTGTTTCGGATGAGGGTCGCATGAATCAGGAAGTTGCTACTTTTCAATGCCAAAGTACGACTTCTCCACTTGGGCTTGGAGTCTTACATGATGGACAAGAGACGTTGCAGCCGCATTCATTAATTCAGCAACCAACAGATGAAGTTGAAGTTGATATCAACAGTGGAAGGAATGTTGATGCAGAGCAAAATAACACTCCTGGTTCTTCTTCAAATGGTGAACATCCAACATTCAGTCACGAGGAACTCAAAAAATATTTCGAAATGCCACGTAAAGTTGTTGCACAGAAGTTTAAAAGTAAGCTTACACAATAATTGAAATTGTTGCTTGTAATCTTGCTCTTATTATTTTCAATTTTTGAGATTTTGTTATTCAATTCTTATTTTTGCAGTGAGCGAATCTACATTTAAGCGTAGATTGAGAGATATTGGAATCAAGCGCTGGGAAAATGGTAGGGGGAAAAAAAAGTTTAAAAGCTCTACTTCTAGACAAAACCCTACATGTTCTGATGCTCACATGACTCAACTTATAAGACCACCACCAGAAGCAAAGACGATGACTATAAAGGCAACCTATGGAGATGATATGATAAAGTTTGACTTATCCTTTTCATCAAGAATAGTGGAGTTGAATCAGGAAGTGTCCGAGAGGTTGAAATTAAATGTTGGAACGTATAAGATCAAATATTTAGATGATGCTGACGATCAGATTTTAATAACCGGTGACAAAGACTTGCAGTATTGTATGACTGCTTTCAATTCATTGGGCATGAATACAATCAAAATGTTCATTGAGCCCATTACCAATATATCTCCTTCAACCTGACTACTAATGAATATATGTTCCTAACTATGTGTTGATACCAAGTAATTAAATTTTTATTCAGTATGTATTTATGTAATTTTTTTCTTTTCACCAAGGAATATATATCAGTAGTTTCTATTGTCCTAATTCCCACTTTGTTCTCTACTATTGTTGGCATACATTTCAGATTCTGATTTTTTTTTTTTGGAAGGTCATTTCAGATTCTAAATTAATTTTTTCATTTGATGAGATAATTAGTTGTTGCAGACATACTTCCATTGATTAAAGGTAGTAGACACAATGACCATGGAAGCTCAATTTGGCACAATGACCATCGACCTTCCTTTTGAAAGGTAAAGACGTACCACTAAACTATAACAGTCTTAGGTCACTCGTTAAATTTTTTAGAACAAACAACTTCTTAGTTGTTATGCAGCCAAAATTGAGCCACAAACCTCGGTTTTCTTAAAGATTATTTCAAAAGCCAGAGGTTTAAAAATGCAAGTCCTCAAGTTTTCATAGAAGCTAATAAAAGCATTGGTTCTTAAATTCTAAATATCATAAAATCATAAAAGGTTTTCCTAAAAAAAATAAAAAAAAATTAGGTCCAATTCTCTGAAGAAATAATATTTGAAGATGTTTTAAAATCCACAAACCTTGGATCACATAAAATTGCTTAATATGTTGTCTTTTTTTGGGTACTCTGTTTTGTTTCATCACTCACCAATTTTGTAATTCTTTCATACCCAACCCATTCAAAACCCGCTCAAAGCCACCCCTAGTCCTGCCCCATCAACCCCTTCAAGCCCCACTATGACAATGACAACAACCAAGCTTAAAATGCAGATGACCTTCATTGAAGCCTTGATTTGTCTATCCCAATAGACAAATAAGGTGGCTGTGATTCTCGTGTTAGAAACAATTCATGATTTACCACTAAAAATACCCACATTAATACCATAACTTTATTCATGCCTCCTAAAAATCGTCTTCATCCTTTAGTCAACAGAAAATGTCCCGATATTTTTTTTTCACAAGAGAACATACAAACAAGACACGGTAAGCGCTTTTGTGATATTATTATACACGAATTTCAAACTTGACAGAAGAAAATGACAATGGTAAGCAGAAACCGCCTTATTAGTAAGGTTGCTGAGCAGGCATAAGCTGCACTAGGAGGCATTAAATAAGGGACATACACAAAAGAATGTCATTAACTATAAAAGCAAACTTAATACAACAAGGTACTTTTAAGATGAGATAAAGAAGTTGGACAGGTAAAATAGAAAAGCATACTCACGGTGCGATTTATTGCTCCGGGGAGACCCTCATAGAAAGCTGGCCATCCACATCCAGAGTTAAATTTAGTCGTGGACCTGTAGAGAGGAGTACTGCATCCTGCACAGTTGTAGACTCCATCACCAAAGAACTTGTCATACTCTCCCGTGCCTGGGCACTTGTACATACAGCAAATTATATATAACCAGGTAAGAAACGACGAGGTTTGGCTGTTTCAGCAAGAGTTATTTAGAACAAAAAAAGGGTCTGATGAATCTCATTTTAATCTCCGAGGCATCAAACAAAGATGCAACAAACATTTAACTCTTACAATGGCCAATTCAACCCAACCACCATAAGATTCCACATTGTTCATTTCTTTTCCTTACTTCCTCTGGGATGAAACAGCGCTTCATATTATGCTGTAACAATATGAGATAACAACTACAGTTGTAAAAAAAAAATGTTCTAGTAATAATAGAAGAATTTATGTGGATGATTGAGATTGCAGTCCTGTCACATCCAGCAGTGGAGTTCTTTTTCTAGACATGGAGAGAAAAAGTTAAGTGGGGTACTTTATCTCTTCCATCCCAGTCGGGACGGTGCTCTGCGTTCTATCTAGGTTCCACTCTTACATACGCCCACCTCACATAGAAGTAGGACCTCTTCAATAGAAGAACCAGTGTGAGTGGGAAGGAATTGCATCATTCATTCATCGGATAGTTGGTACATTCATTCCAGAGGATACATTTTATCCAACTTCCTTTTTCAGTTTTTTGGCTCTCTTCTCACATCTCTGAAGACAAATAATTAACTAAATTTCAAAATTTCATCCTTTACATCAAAGAGGGCAATGGAAGGAAGGAAGCAGAGAGAGAGAGAGACAAAGAATGGTCTTACCTATTTAGTCTACCATGAACTTATATTTTAGGGTCTAACTCAGTTATTACTGGGAGAAATTTTTTACCCTATAGTTGCTTCGACGACAGTTTGGCAAGGGAGGTATGATGTTGTCTTCCCATATACATCGTTGCCTGCATATGTCGTGGCACTGTTTTATGCTTATCAGTATATTCAAGCTGTATAACTTCAATGGAAGCTATAAAGTCACCGAAATATATCAGCACATCAACGCATTTGACGCTTCGTTCTTCTTTAACTTTTATTTAAAAATAAATGGTCTAGACTCTGGACTCTCGTTCCTGAACTGATAATCTCTACTCACATCGTCAGAAAATCCAGTAGGAGCTCTTAAATTGGATTTCACATACAACCTCCACTTTTTCCTTCCTCCTCTAGCAGCTTGGTAGCCAAATTCTTCCCTATATGTAACATATCACGTCAGGCATTATGTACTTCACTCATAGAACAAAGGAAGACATCAAATTTCTTAATCCAATATGAACTCAATATAGGTATGACCAGAGGTGGCGTTTCAGCAACTTATCATGTGATTTCTAGCAATACTGGAGATATCTTGACGGTATATCAGATCCTATTGATTTATTGCATAATTCCTACAATTTTTCACAAGATTGTCGGTGACATCCTGAAAACCTCTTTAAAAAACATATGTTCAACTCAAACCACATCCACTTTCAGAATGCATGGATAAAAAGGGTAAAGAAGGTGGGGGGTGGAAGACTCAAAACCCTAGTCTATAAAGAATGACAAAGTGCATCCACCTATATCACACGGGCTCTATACATGTGGGTATGTGCCTAAGCATCAGATTTTCAAATGCCAAAAACCCAAGGACAGGGGAGAACAATTAAATATTCCTATTCTTTTAATATTCATCTTTCTGAGTAAAATGATATATTAATGTAACATATAATTTTCAAAAAGAAACATAATACCTAATATTGTTTTATGACCAATTACATAATGAACTTGAATTACCTGACATGTAAAATATATATAACCCATTTTCTATATTCAGTGTCATCGATCTAAACACAGAAACCTCATGCATTTAAAAGAGGTCAGGCAATATAGTCAATCTCTTGAGCCAGTAACTAAACTATGTTGGACTTCATCATCATCATCCTTGCCTTAATCAAACATATGAATTGGGTCGCCCATATGAATTCTCTCTTTCCAAATTTTCTATTACATGCCAATTCACCTACTATATTTATCTTTTTCAGAACATTTTTAATAACCTCATCCCATGTTATTTTTGGCCTCCCTCTCTGTCTCTTACCCTCTATTACAACTATTTTTCTCGTTTGACCGGCGCGTCACTAGGTCTCCGATGTATATGACCAAATCATCTAAGTCTACTTTCTCGATTTTTCTCACCAATGGGAGCTACACCTAATTTTCCTCTCACACTTTTAGTGATCCTATCTCTTCGAGTCACTCGACTCATCCATCTTAACATTCTCATTTCAACTACATAACGGCGTTGTTCTTGTTTCTTTTTTAGGTCCCAACATTTCGCTCCATACAACATAGTTGGTCTAATAACGATCGTATAGAATTTTCTTTTTAGCTTATGTGTCGTTCTTTTATCACATAAAATCCCACTAGCATGTCTCCATTTTGTCCTACCCACCCCAATTCTACTAGTTTCATCACTCTCTCTACATCCATTTGTATTATCAATTCTAGATACCAAAAGTGGTAGTTTTGAGTAATCCTTTTGTTTTGAAGTGCTATCATTATATTATTAATATTCCAATTTTTATTAAATTTGCATTCCTTAACTATGAATATGGGCATCTTATCTTCTGAAGGAATTCTTCTATGGCTTGAATGATTTTCAAAGGGGGCATCGAGTTGTTGGGAGTGCATATCAGTCACATAAACTATGTTTCTGTAGAGATCTAACTCAATTCAGTATAACTGAATACCCCTCCCTGCCCTTTGCACGCTTTTTTGGGTTAACAGGCTGTTTCACGATTTGCTTGCAAAGTACTTGTGCCAAAAATTATCATTACGTACTAGAGTTTTTTCTGAATCATAAAAACACATATGGTGAAGACCTAAGTACCTTCTTGTGCTCGATATTAGAAACAATGAAGCAACATTTCCCAAGCTTTAAGCTTGCTTCTGGAGAAGAACTCGGGAAGGAGTTATCGATTGAATTTATTAATCCTCGCCTGAATCAAGAGCTTGCTTCCTTTCAATGCCAAACTAGATCATCTCCATCTAGGCCCGGAGTCTTACAAAATGGATAAGAGATGATGCAGCCACATTCATCAAATCAACAGCTAATACTTGAAGTTGATGATATCAACAATGGATGGGATGTTGTTAATGCGGAGCAAAATAACATTCCCGTTTCTTGTTAAGATGAGGGTTGCATGAATCAGGAACTTGCTACTTTTCAATGCCAGAGTACAAGATCTCCACTTGGGCTTGGAGTCTTACATCATAGACAAGAGACGTTGCTGCCGCATTCATCAATTCAGCAACCAACAGATGAAGTTGAAGTTGATATCAACAGTGGAAGGAATGTTGATGCAGAGCAAAAAATCACTCCTGGTTCTTCTTCAAATGGTGAACATCCACCATTCACTTGTGAGGAACTCAAAAAAAAATTCGGAATGAAACTTATTGATGTTGCACAGATTTTTGGAAGTAATCTTACACACTAATTGAAATTGTTGCTTGTAATCTTGCTCTTATTATTTTCAACTTTTGAGATTTTGTTATTGAATTCTTATTTGTGTAGAGACTGAATCTACATTTAAGCATAGATTGAGAGATATTGGAATCGAGTGCTGGCCAAATGGTAGGGGAAAAAAAAAATTTAAAGGCTCTACCTCAAGGCAAAACCCTCCATGTTCTGATTTGCCTGCTAAGAAACACGTGGCTACTGATGCTCGCACGACTCCAGTTGTAACACCACCACCAGAAGTAAGGACTGTAACAATAATGGCAAGATATGGTGATGATAGGCTCAAATTTAAACTATCTTCTTCATCAGGAATGGTGGAACTGGAAAAGGAAGTGACCAAGAGGTTGAAATTCAAGGCTGGAACTTATAAGATCACATATAATGATGGCAAGTATAAGATTTTAATAGCCTGCGACGATGACTTGAAAGAATGCATGAGTGCTATCAATTCAGTGGGCACAATTGCAATGTTAATTGAGCAAATTACCCAAATATCACCTTCAACCTGACTAATTATGTATGTTCGTACCTATTTGTTTATATCAATCTAGTTCCTAAAGACAGCACTAATACAAGTTCTCAACTTTCTCTTCAATATGTATCTATGTCATGTTTATCTTTTCGGCAAGAAATATCAGCACTTTCTATTTCCCGGCTCCCAATTTGTTCTCTAAAATTGCTCTGTCTTCTATTTGTTCAGTCTAAAAAACAGTTGTATTTCGAAGAGAAGTGATGTCGGACAGAATTCTGAACAATTTGGCAAGCAGTTTGACAAGTCCATTTTCGACAAACCGATAGTATGTTTTGGGTGGAAACAGAAAAACCCACTAGGGCCATGCTGGTTTTTGGCTGAAAACTTTCGTTTAGGGCTCCGAAATCGTTGTGATTAACACTTCATGATTTACTAATAAAAATAATAATGCGTGATAACATTATATTAAGTTGATTTACTACTATTTAAGTTGATTTTAAATATATTAAGTTTGTACCATGCACGCACGTAATGTAATAATTGGATCAACTTTTATTTTCTGAAAAACAGAAGCTTTTGGGTTCTGAACATACCTCTCAAAATTCCCTCTAGCACTTGGATGAAAAAAGCCGCAGCTAAGGTCCATTGCTAGGCCTTTTATCAAACATCATATAGGCAATGAAGAGTCCACCATGTTCTAGTATGATGCTTGAATGCCATTGAGTCCTATTTCATGCAGAATTAACAATCTCTCCATCCATACCATCTCTGAAGCTCAATTTGCCAAAGTCAGTGCGCTCGTCAGAGATGGAAATTGGGTCCTTCCTTCAGCTCTGTTGAGGCAAATCCTTAAGCTAAGGTCCATTGACACTCCTGCTCAGCTAGACCTCAACCGTGAAGATCAAACCAGTTTAGTTCACTCATTCTCTGGCTAGCTCTGCAGATTATCAACCAAAACTCTTTATTGCAACTTCAATGCCCTAATTTTGCACGAAGGTCATCTCCAACAGCTTTCTGATATGGTACCTTCCCAAAAAAAACAAAAAGCTTTCTGATATATTGGGCTGAGCCCCTCTTGGCTTATGGCATTTCTTTTGGTTGGGCTTGCCCACGTTTTCTGTATTTCTCGAGACTGCCTTTTTACTACCGTGCAGTTCTCTATAAAAAATAATAATAATAAATAAAATCCTCATTTTTTAAAAAATATTACAAATAGTGTCATTACAATTTGGCATAACCTAAAATCTTGCTTCTTTTAATTTCTAAATCCAAAAATCACTAAATGCCTAAAGTCTTTCGGTTTTGGTTTTTGTTTTTTTTTTTTTTTTTTTTTTTTTTAATAATATCATTTTTTGAAACACAATAAATCATGAAAAATATCAAATGATAAAAGATAGTAGTAAATAAGCAATTTATAAAAATTTTTGTTTTACATTTTAAAAGTGGGCCTCTCCAAATTTCAAACAAACGTTAGATTTAACACCACCAAAAAAAAAAAAACCACAATAAGAGTGCGAGCGACTTTTACTAGCAAAGCTCTTAATTATATCTTAAAATTTTGAATATATATAAACATATATGTATAAACATATCTTAATTATATCTTTTTCTTTAATTGTTACACTTAGCATATTATTGTTTCTTTAGTTCTCAATCAACATCAGTTGTTGTGGAAACAAAAATCTATTCCAACCCTCTTTTGTGCAAGTGAAAGTTTTGACAGAAAATACAATAGGGGTGTTGAGCTGTTTATGTAACTTAATTCCTATCGAAATTCTCGTCACACTTATGTTTGTACCATATGCTAATTGACCCCTTGTAGAAATTTACTATAGTTTTTAACTTTGCTCATTCAACGAAGCAAGATGGTCATTCTCAAAACCGGAAGTTTGCTCATGGAATCTTTTATCAATTGACAAAGTGATTATGACATAACTTCAATGTTTTTGACATTTATTAGATTCGGGAACAGAAAATATTCAATTTTGGAGCAAATAAAGACCTGAATGATGAAAAAACTAAGTGTACTTAAATTAAAAGAAAATAAAAAATTAATTAAATGTGAAATAATTAAACTGTCCCTCTTATCTTTTTTTTATAATACCCTTGTATATATAATATAAGGGCATTATCAAAGACATAAGGATATTTTCGGAATTTCATATCTTATCAGTGACTTCAAACATTTCTTTACTCATTTTTTCAAGCTTAACGGATATAAATAACATAAACCCTTATTTACATAAACCCTTATTTACTCATTTTTTTAAAACTTAACGAACTTATATAAACAACATAAGCCCTTGATCATTTTTTTAAAAATTTAATAGACTTATATACACAAAATAAAGAGTTATTTGCCCAAAATGTAAACATCAGGGTGATTTATTTATTTATTTATTTCACTTTTACCCCCATTTTTCGGAAGTATATATCGGATCCATCTTATACTTTAGTTTTGGAACTGATAGAGTTGAAGAAAGATTTGACCTATGTAGAGGAACCAGTACAGATTTTAGATCGTCGAGAGCAAGTGCGACGAAATAAAACTATACCACTAGTAAAGATATTGTGGAGAAGTTATACGTGAGGAAGCTATGAGGATGCAATATCCTCACTTGTTTGATATGTTTCATGCATTTCAATTTCGAGGACGAAATTTATTTTAAGAGGGGTAGATTGTCATATCCTGAATTTTATTAGCTCTTTAATTATTATTATTATGAGCTTGTTAATATTTGCTCGAGCTTAAATACTTATTTTTAATTGCGTTGGGAAACAAAATAAGAAATTTCATTTTTATAACCAATTAATTTCAAGAATGAGAATGGTTCACAGATGCATGGTACATGGTACCTAGAAGTGTTTGCACATGTTTGTTATATATTCATGTGTATGGTATCAATTACAAATTATTGAAGTGGTGGCAGCTAATGGGAAGGAAAGAAAATATATATATAATTATAATAAATATTGAACAAGGTGTGTATATTGAAGGACATGTGTGATGTCGTGGGTGTGTTTGTGTTTGAAGTATATGCTAGTGGCCCATTCTTATAGATAGAATTATATTAGTTCAAGGCTTACTCTACAAGCTTTAAAGTTGGTGAGGCAAATTGGTGGGCCCAAGTGATAACCATGCATATGTATATATATCATTAAGTATTTGCGTGGGTAAAGCTTAATTTGAAAAGCTTTTTAATTGCCAGTGTACATATGTATTCAAGACTACTCATGTAACGACTCAAAACTAATACTTTTTAAACAAAAAAAATTCGGCATGACCTCCCCTAAAAATAGGCCTATCACAACCTGTTTAATTGCATTTTTAACCTGTCATGGCTCAAATTCCGAATTCACGGCAACAAAAAATAATGATACAACCAACTAATCTAGACAATGCTTCAAACTAGGATTATCCATCCATTCATCAACAAGTTGCATACTATCAAATCCCCATCCAAAACATCATCAATACTTTAGTTATATTACATGACAAAGTTCCACAAAATAATTATACATCTTTGCACTTCTAGTGTTTTACAAAATAATGGGGAATATATAAAGATACAAAAGTGGACTTCTAACGCCGTTCAAGCTTGAGGTGGGTTGTCATCCACCAATTTTTTTCCAAGACCTGAAAAATATATATATATATATATAGATATAGGGGTGAGCATATAGCTCAGCAGATGACACTTAAGACACAATTCTTGTGTCTTAGTGAATCCAAATAAAGCATAGGCCAATGGGAGATTGGGGACATGCATTGAAAGGGAAAAATAATTACAAGTACAAGTCAAATTCAATCACACACAAATGCAAATAGAGTGAGATGCAATGCATGCTAAAGTCACTCCCCGTTCTCATTCTCAAAACCATCACGTTCAAAGTTAATGTAACCCCCTTTGGTAACCCTGTCGCGACGAGAGGAGGATTGGCTACCGTCCCTAGGCCCTTGGTGACCCCGTGGCGCCGTCGAGGGGCCCGAATAGCTCAACCACGCTAGGGTACTCTCCCTAGTCCTCCCTAGGCTACATTAACCTCCGGCCCGTTGGTAACCCCGCAGCGACCGGGTTTGTCAAAACCAATTTTTTTTTTCCAAAACATTCATTCCCAAATCCCCATTTTCATTTCAAGACAACCACTTCCCTTTTTCATGCAACCCAATGAGATGTAGGCTCATGTCATGATCTCAATATAATGACAAATGGGAACTTAGCACAATAATAAATAAGTATGTTCTCATGGCATCATTATAGCATGTTAGTAATCTCAAAAAAAATGTAAACAACCATCACATAGACATACTTTTCATTCAACCATGTTATACACATTTACATAACTAGCATGTTGTCAATTAAATCATTTTAATCAAAATCAACAATAATTAAACATGCTATAACACACATAGAGGAGCATGATTCATTATAGAGCAAGATTCCATGGCTTAAGATGTCCCTACCTCACAATCCAAGCCGAAATCCCTAGAATAGGTCCTCCAAATTCGAACTCCAAGGAAGACTCAAATCTGGAAATTGATAGTATGGATGCGTAGAGCTCGCTACAAGCTTCGTTTTGCCTCAAACGGCACCTCAATCCGATAAAAGATGAAGGAGCAATCAACAATGGAAGTTGAAGTGAAAAGAAAAGAAAAAAGAAAAAAGGAGAAGCCGAGAGCAGTCGGGAGAGAGAGAGAGCAGCAGAGACCAATTTTGGTCTCACAAATCACTTAAAAAGTGATGTGGGTCCCACATTATTTTATATTTCTTTTCTCTTTTTCTTTTTCATTTAAATCACACACCACACACACACAATTATGTACACAGACTTCACAACTCACTCAAGTCAATATTCATATATAGATATATATTTATGTGGAGGTTTGCTGTTGGACCGCTTGAATCATCTTACTTATCTATGTAGGTTGATTAAAAATAAAAGGAAGCAATTATTTTATATTTAGGTGTTGCCAGCACAAACCATCAGTGCCCACACATTCAACACGTCACAAAGTTCCTTTAAGGAGCCTTTTAAACCAAAATAGGGAGGGAGTGTTTAAAAAAAAAAAAAAAAGAAAAGAAGGAAGGAACATAAAATTCTCTCTGGAATTTCTGGTAGCTAATACTAAAAGTAAAGAATATTTTTATGTTGAAAGTTTATAGTCGGGTGTTTTAATGAGCAACTGGGTTAATGGGTTTTACATAAATTATATCTATATTATTTATTTTACTTGATTCTAAGTACTATATTATCTAAGTTTAAATAATTGTTAGTTGATGAAATTGTTAAGCTGAAGTTAATATAATTATTATTGTTAGAATTTCCACTATAATTGGGTAGGGAATTAAGATTTGTTATGAAGTTGATAATTACTTTTCAACTCTTTTTAGAAATAAATATGACATGGTTGTTCAGGCAACAAGACGAAAAGGACCACATCGACAGTACCGAAGGAAAAATAAATAATTTGAAAAGTAACCAAGGTGAGTATACTCACCGGAAGTTTTACACTTGAATGTGTCAATTGAAGTATTGAAGATGTTTATGTGGAATGAAGATGTTGATATCACTTGATTATATTGTATAAGGTTCATACTCTGGCCTGGAAGGAGAGTAATATATTATATAAGGTCTATACTTTGGCTTGGAAGGAGAGTACTATATTATATAAGGTCCATACTCTAGCCTAGAAGGAGAGTACTATATCATATAAGGTTCATACTCTGTTCTAAAAGGAGAGTGCTATATCATATAAGGTCCATACTCTGGCCTAAAAGGAGAGTGTGTACTATATCATATAAGGTCCATACTCTGACCTAGAAGGAGAATACTATATTTTAATGCATGTAAAGCTGAAAGTTATATGTTAATGAAGTTTAATTGAAGTTATCAGATAAATTTGTTTATATTACTATGATGTAATAGTGTCTATATTTTTCAAGTACAGGGTTTGGTTGCCATTGTCAAGTCTAGAGTCTTGGGGTATTGAATGGGGAAAGGAGCAACAAACAATCTTTTAGTTTGTTTAGCTTTGTCGGAACTTGCATAATGGGCTTATAGTTGGTTTTTAATTGTAAAATGTTAAGCAGTCACTCTGATGTATGATGATGTCA